TTTAGCCCCTTGGAACTTCGACGCACAGGCTTTGTGCCACTTTGCTTTGTTCTGAATAAAAGCAGCTTTAATCCCCTTCTCTTCGTTGAGCTGTTGCACCAGATAACCGGCCTCTAGCGTGTATGCATAGGGTAGTAACTGCTCCAAGTTCCTACAGCGACACGCACGGCTTAAAAATGCCTGTGACCCGCGACCTAATCGTACCGCCCGCCGTCTGATGTACTTTGGGGGCTGCCTCGGCGACTTCAGGGTACGCCCAGGCACTGCGTCGCGATCGATCGCGTTTCGCGGTATCGTTGCGATATCCACATTTCCAGGGGCACGAGTCGGACGGAACTAGCTCGCTGAGAGATGTTACTTGTGAAGTGAGCTCAAGACTGACTGATGGAAGTACTTATTTCCCAACAAGCGATGACAGGAGGGCAATAATGGAAGCATAGGTGGTATACCCCGTCAAAGAACATGCCCACTTCCGAATCTTAATGAAATGCCCGTCTCTTACGTCTTTCTTTGTCATTCAATAGTTGTTGCAATCCGGGACAACAAGGGTATGACTGCGCGAACATTCCCTCTTAATAGGTAAAATAATATGAAAAGATCCTAACTTGGTATGAGTCGCATCTGTTTTTTGAATACAAAATCAGCATCAACAACCACAAATTATATGGAAACGACACCAAGAACGGCAAAATCCTTCAAGTATGGAATTTCCAAATTTTGAACAAATTATTGAACGATTAACGGGCCTATTTACACACTAGAAACTGTTGTAACTTCAATATAACAATTCTAGCGTGTAGTGCACGTCCAAACTAGCTGGAATCGACATCCGAAACATCACGCAGAGTTAAAACTATCAAATTCAAAATTTAACCATTATTTTGAAAATAATCCAAATTTGGGGCCTAAGGGTCAGATATACAACTTTTTTAATGCCGCCATTGACACCAGCGACCCTAAATTATTCAGAAACGACCCCTAGAACGCCGAAATTCATCAATTTTTACAGGTTAAAACCTTGAACACCCTTTTGAACAAAAGTGTTCAAATGTTGAACCCACACGAAAATTTCGGTGGGTGCTGCGGGCCAAAAGTTTTAATTGGACCTAATGAACATGTGTACCGAGTTTGATGCTTTTGTCACAAAGTGCAGCGTTTACCTCGATATTCAGTTGTACCGCCTACGCTATATAATAATTTAAAGGGTACTCTTTTCACACAAAAAAAATCAATGATCGACTTACTAACGGAAAATGATTACAATTAACAGCTATACCACCTTCACCTTCTCTTTCTCGCAATTTAGACGTGACGACCTCGATCACGGGGATACTTGCCCAATTCGACGATAATTTCTGTACCACGTTGTTGGCAACGATAATTGAAACTCAATTATTCCTCTCTATCTCGTATCACAATTTCCTTAAATTTTCTTCGACTCGGATTTTTGCTGCCACCACCACTCATGCTTCTGGTTAAAATATAACTTAGCAACGGGTTTGTTCGATTTTTTTTCACTTATAATTGCACAAGAGGTTTGTATTTTACCGAGTAAATTTGGGTTGTTTAGGTCATGAAAATCTGTTGCCTAGCAATTAGACGAGAAAAACTGTCAACTAATAAAAATGCGACACCGCAGGTGGAGCATTTTTAGGTTGACAGTTTTTCGAGTCCAATTGCTAAAAGGAAACAGATTTGAATTGCCACAACCCAAATTTACTCGGTTTAAATACAAACCTCGAGTGTAATTCGGCAGGACAATTTAACGAACAAGAAATTCACCAACTAATCAATTATTGACAGACGTCAAACTAGTCATATGGGAAATGATAATGCGATAATTGGTTCGAAAATGAATAAGTGAAAAAACCACTAGTGCATTTGTCGCTGGAAAAGTTGCAGGTAACTTTTGCCGCTGTCAAAGTGACAATTTCACTGCGGCTTATGCGATTTTTTATACATGAGTTGAATTGTCGTAAAAATTAGATGCCCTTATGATATTGCGTGCGAAAATCGACGTTTTCTAAAACACTGCTTTGCGCACATGTTTGGGTGCGATGAAATCTACTCACATCGAGCCTTTACAATAGGAGACAATACCTTAGCAAACAATTTTCGTAAAATATGTTGGTCGGTGCAAATGGCCATACATAAATGATTTTCTTTGCAACAGGAAGGCACTTATTAATTGCAGGTGGAGTTCCTCTTGTGGGGTGATTATTGTAACAAACATCCTTCACGATACACCCTGTTGCAACCTAACTTACCGAAAACGTAGTGGCATTAGAACGTAAAGCTACAATAAGAACACATTTTTTTTAATGGAAAAGCAATAGAAAGGAACAAACGAGACTTTATGACCAATTATTATAGTAATAGTTCCAACCCCATATAATGCTATGCTTGACGTTATGTCTCTTCTGGCATCCAATGATTTAACAGTATACATGATGCCCATTATGTATGGAATATAGTCTACTTATACCTTGGTAAATATCGATTGTATGCAAAATTTTTCTATACGAAACTTGTTTAACATTTTATTTCTCATAATAAGGCAGCATATTCCGTTGTTTTGATATCAGACAACACATGAGTAACTAAAAACAATTGAATTTTTTTAAATAGGAATGCATCGTTTCATTAGCTTCATTGGATAGAGATTTTTTTCTTTTTTCGATGATGTACAATGTTAGTACCTTTATATAACAAAAAATTTAATGTAATTACATCAATAACATTAATCTAGATATCCGACATCAAAATAAAACAAATGAACGTGTATGTTTGTTATTAAAACCGTGAAGACAACACGAAATTAGCAATAATTGCTGTAGCAATTTCTCCCAGAATACTCAGATAATCATTTCAAGCTTTCCGCGATAGGTCAGTTCACTGCCATATTTTAATAATAAAAATATTTTGAACACTTATTGCGATGAAAACCATTGCTAATTTGATTTTGTCTAAGAAACGTACACGTTCATTTGTTTTATTTTGATGTAGGACATCTAGATTAATGTTATTGATGTAATTATAATACTTTTTTTCTAATTTTCTTGTATTAGAGTACTCACATCATCGAAAAGACAAAAAAATCTGTATCAAATGAACCTAATGAAAAGGTGCTCTGCCGTTTACAAAAATTCTGGTAAAGAACTTTCATACAGAAAAATTGTGTATACATTCAATATTTACCGAGACATATACCATTCCATACATAATGGGCAGCCTGTATGCATGCCTAATTTTTCACTCTTTAGGTAGCGCCTTTTCCGACAAGGAGTTGACACGGAATGCGTTAAAATTTTATTTTTAACATAAATACCTGAAAAATATCTTCCGATATTAAAAACTAAGGATCTAGGTAGTGTATAAGATGCAACTTTGTTGAAAATTCGTATTTTGCCAACCAAAGGTACCTCGAAAAAGTGGTGCGCGAATAAGCACGGTAATGGAAGCACTAACAATATATTACGTGTCTGTCGTTAGTGCTTCGTTAGTGTTAGCTTGGGCACGAAAAAGTAACCCAGCACGTCTAACCCTTTTGGACGCACAGAATACCCGTTTTCTACTCCAACTTCACACCACTTTTGGAAGTACTAACGAAATGTTTTGTGCGAATCATTAGTGCTTGATTGCACACGAAAAAGTGACCCAGCACGTCCGCCTCTTTTTGAGGTACAGAGAGTACCCACTTTTGGACGCACTATCCAAATGTTTTGTATCAAATCGCTACCACCTGTATGCTGGCACAGGCCATTTGTGGCGAAACAAATAAACCGAGGTCCATAATCCACTTTGACATCGTATTTTCGTATGCATCTTGAATGGTTGGAAGGTTAAAGTCTGAGACTGTTTGACCAAACTGACGCAAATGGCGTTCAATATCCATAAAAGATTGTTCTATTGTGGGAAGGTGCCCTCAAAATTCCTGGGTGAAACGAATACACGTTGGCGACATACCCAATGATTTGTTTTCCAGACATAATGATAAGTAAGGGTATCTTGCGACGGGATTTGTTTGTATTTTCGGGTAAGTTAGGGGTTGTAGGGAACTACCCATCGATTATCCAATAGCGTACCGTTCACTGTAAAGTTTTTCCCATTGTCGCTTCTCCTGCATTGTGGACATCCGTTAACGTTAATGCTAGTTTCGACGCAAAAGTCCTTCGGGAAATTTTCTTGTACAAAGCCAGTATTCCTGATCGTGATCAATTCATGGAAATCGTTTACTTTTTTCGCCCGATGGTCTATGCAGCATACAGATATGGTTACGATTTGATACAAAACATTTCGTTATTGCGTCCAAAAGTGGTACGGAAAACGGGTACTTTTCAAACTTCATGATGGTATCAGCAAGAAAGTCTTCAGTCGTCGAAGTTGCAGTCTTTGAAAATGACACTGTTAAGATCATTGTGTTGTTGGTTGGGATGAAGTTTTTCTTGTGAATCTTTACATAGGTGTTACGTTAATCCCAAGTGAAGTAATGATAATGAAAATGATATATGTAGATTGGGGTTTGTAAAAACCAAAACGATCCAAATTTGAAGTTTTTTCCAGTTTGAAAATGCTCAAAATTAAACGGCTTTTTATTATGTTGTGAACACTTCAGAGGACAATTTCCAACTTCCGATGATCAAAACTTTTGAAATTTGCCATTTTTGTTCATTTCGTCTTCACTTGTTTGAGTCTTAGTTTAAATAACTTTATTTATACTTCACGTATACATAGAATATTACATCTTATAAACATTGAATATATACTATTTTTTTTAAATATCTTGACACAAAACACAACAGCCATATAAAGACATAATACAAATAGTTAATTTAAAGTGCATTAATGCGTCTAATGAAGATATACATTATACAGCCATATATCCGGTTATGATAAAATTGTAAAAAATGTGGAGGCCGAGCTTGCACTTCACGCTCCTATGTGATAACGACCTGTCACTTTGTAGAAAGTTATAAAAATATTGCGTCTTGCGCATTGAGCTGGCATAGCAGCGCGAAGATTGGCCATAGCAACGGCGGATATGTCTCGAAATGGTCTAGCGAACGTTCTCAACGCTTTTTTTTCTCATCTCATTGAGAACGAGCTCACAACAAACTTTGTCACAAAAACACCTTCCATTCATCAATAGCACATTTTTTTTAGATCAAAAATATATTTTACAACTTATTGCCGTCAATATACTTTTTCTCTCAGCAAAGACAGAAAAGTGTAGGTGGTCTACTGTTAGTGTGCATTGATAAATGTTTTAAAATCTAACTCTAAAATCTTAATATATATCGTGATATGATAATCAAGCTCACATGTTTTCAAAAAACTTGTTAATCCTAAGCTAACATGCACCATTTTGCTACAACTCGCCTTGGGATAGTTGGTCGATTCTGGTGCTTTCGGCAGAAGCGCAAACGGTTATTTGCGCTTCCCTGTCTCGCCGTCCGCTTGCGAAATCGAACCCACTTTCCTACCATCAGCCAGAAACTTACCGAAACCATTAATGCGGCACAAGTGATTAACTTATTTTAGAAATCCACCATGATATGTAATTAGGCCTTTATGTGTCCCGTTTTCAAGTAATGTAGAGTCTTTATGCCGACGTGCGATAATAATAAATCGAACTTGTGGATTTAACGTCTTACCATCTACAACACATATGTATATGGACACCAAGAGAGAAGGAATTCAACACATGTATCTCTATATACGTTGAAGATATATAAGTGAATAAATTGGGACACATTAAGAGAAATTGAAGTGGTGGACTTACACCTTCTTACCTTTATTCTATGATATGTATAAAATGATATGGATTTCATTTTTTTAGGATACACAGGTACCTAGAGTCGTATCGGACGCGCCACATCCCTAAAACGGTCGTGCTTCCGCCAGAAAGAGACACAATCACTTGCTTTTCGATGGTACCATAGCTAAAATATTCAGGCGAAAGTCGAAAAGCTCGTTCCAAGATGTGACGTTTTCCAATTACGCCCTTAAGTCCGAACTGAGAGGTTACGGTAGCACGTATCGATTATGTCTTGAAAGGGGAAGTGTGTGTGTGAGGTACCCATTAAAACTAAATAACACATTTAACAGTATATAATCCTAAGCATAGTGTTGCGAAAGAAGAAGTTAGTAGCGAAGTGCTGCGAGAATTTATGGGATCGTAAGCTTTTACAGCACAATGCATCTTATCTAGTGGTAAACTTTGTAAGCTATATTCCCTATGCTCCGAGGTCATAATGCAGACGGTGCGTTTCTTTTGCATCATCTCGTCGTCCTTGTCTCTTAAATTTCTTATCCAGTTCTTGTACCATTGCAGTTCGCAATCGCATACCAGTGGATTATCTAATTTGAGAGAGAAAGAATTAGTTTTCTTCATTTTTTCAATATTAGTAATCTTAGTTTTTGCAATCGCCCGCTAGTAGTTGAAGTAACAAACACTAAAACAAACGCATTTTTAGAGCAAATAACTGTGATCAGTTTTGCTTTGTGTTTTTGTTTCACTTTCTGTTATATTGATCAGTTTTCATTTCTCTAAATTTTGAGATACAAATCAAGGAAAATTGCAAAAACCGCTTGATCAAGCTGTCGCGATTTTCTCAATCCCTTTACGGTACACGAGGTAATTCGGTCGGGGATGGTCTCTTTTCAAACCCGGTAATTGCGACGGTTCGGTCGATTGAAAATGTTTAACATTTTATTTCTCATAATAAGGCATCATTCAGTTGTTGTTATTTCAGTAAACAAATGAGTACTTAATGAAAAACAATTGAATTTTTTTAAATGGCAGTGCACCTTTTCATTAGGCTCATTTGATAGAGATCTTTTTTTCTCTTTTTGCTGATGTAACATGTTAGTACCCTAATAATACAAGAACATTTTTCAAAAAAACTTATTATAGTCACATCTATAACATAAATCTAGATATCCTACATCAAAATAAAACAAATGAATGTGTACCTTTGGTACACGTCCATTTGTTTTTTTTTTGATGTAGGATATCTAGGTTAACGTTTGGTTGAAAAGAAAAAAAAATGTAATGAAAAGGTGCATTGCCATTGAAAAAAATTCAATTGTTTTTCGTTAGGTACATTTGTTTACTGAAATAAAAACAACTGAATGATGCCTTATTATCGGAAATAAAATGTTAAACAACTTTCATATAGAAAAATTTTGTATACATTCGATATTTACCGAGATAGATATTTATATACCATACATAATGGGCACCCTGTATAGTAAAATTGAGCTTAGCTTACGCCATTATGTAGGAAACGTCAACTTTGGCCATAGGCGCCATGTGCCGTTTTAGTAACTTGAATTTTACTTCTTAATAGTATACGAATTTTCTTCTTATTATAATTCTAAAGTCATATTCCCTTACATTTTGGCGGTCGCTTAAGCCTGATGTTCTAAATGAACACCCTATTTGATTAACACGGAATATGTTTATCAGTGGTAATGTTTGATGCTGTATCAAATAGCTTGAATAACGAATAATTGCCTCTAAAAATCACAACATTGTGCCACGTCACATTGAGAAGTAATAACCATATAAAGTTTATGGCTTTATAGACAGTGTGTTGTTGATATATTAGGGTTCAGTTTCTACGGTGGCTTATTTCTCTAACGGTTTCACGCCATTCTGATACGGTTAGGGATAATGGCCGTTAAAATTCCAAATTGAAAGAGCATTATATTTGTTACAACTAAGGTGCAGTTCAAAAAATAACAGCTCGCTAACATTTAATATTTATACTTATATAGGGGGCATTTTGTAGAAAACGCAATAAGTATGAGAATTGTAGTTCACGGATTTTCATTGTTCCGAAAGAAACATTGCACATAATGTATCTTCCCCTGCCCCTCACCTATCACTCAGGGTAAGTCTGATAACACCATACATTGTATTGCAGCTAATATTGAAAGGGACAATAAGGTATGTTGTAAACAGAATTATAATTATTTCGAATAGGGGATGAAAACACAGCAAAATTGAGATGTGTTTGACATTGAAAAATTTGTGAATAACAATCGTGATCAACTCAATTGATACCAAAGGGGATTTTCCTAAAAACGTTCTTTAGTACGCTCTCTCAGATTTTTACCAACAAATATGCTCCCCCCCTCCCCCCACACGATATCACCTCTCGAATCAAAATTTAGGTGCGAATCGCTGTGAGAAGGTATGACATTGATGAAGATTGTAAAACGTGGAATATAATAAATTCGTAATAAACAATGGATTTCTTCCATGGGGACCGTAGTTGGAAGCGTCTCTGTTCTGGAACTATCGAAGCTTTATATCGAGTCCACTTAGTCAACTTTGCTGTAATGTTTCCCATACGATTTATGCTTATGTCACAAATAAGGTCGTAAACGCTATTTACTGAAACCACTTGCTTTCCTCACACCCAATCCACCGACAGTATCAGTTAGGGCTGCTAAAATCCATTTTTCTGAAACTACTTTAGAAACCACTACTTTCGTCTCTGAAAAGGGCGCAGAAAATGTGATTTTCCTCTCTAGTGAGGAAAATAAAAAACAATTGATGCGTTAATCTTACTAATGACATTTGAAATTGAAACATACTTGTATCTAGATTGCTGTGCCAAAGTTCATTATTGCATGCGATCATTTTTTAATTTTAATTGTAGTTTCAGAAAAAATTATGTGTAAGACTTGAAAAGAAAGTGTTTTTCAACTTTCGTTCAATTGACACACTACCTACTCGAATTGAAAAACTCAACATTCTTCTCTAGTTGTACAAATAACTATTTTTCCCTGGGAAATTTGTATTCAGTAAAGTTGATCTGATTTTTCCATATCACAAGAGTGCAGGATTTCCTCAAAATTCCACGTGGGGTAGTGCGTAGAAGGTATGTTAATCTCGGTATAGCAAAACAGTGTCTTAGTAGGTAGAAAACAAAAGAAAAGCAAGCTGGGTAACGGGGCCAAAACAAAATTTTCATTTCCTCTAGTTTAGTATTTAAACAGCAGTCTGCTGATGTCAGTGGAACTCGTAGCAGCACGGAGAAAAATGTGTGTTAAAGGTAATTAAAAATATAATAATAGCTATCAAAAAATATAATACGTATAGGGATAGCTATGAAGAATTATAAAATTTATCATATACATATTGTTGCAAGTGTATAGCTAGTTTTACTATATATCGTTTTAACTCATACAAAAAAACTGTATGTAACGGCAACCATCTCATATGCATGCTTTTGTAATACGGCAGTAGCTGAATTAACATCTCCGCTTTGTTAATAAGTAACTTAGATTATTGCAACTAATTAATATACACACCCTGCCAAAAATCGACTGCACCAAAATTTCCCGGGGAATTCTTATTAATTTTGGTGCGTAGATTCCAAAACAATTCGTACTTTTTCGATCAGACTTCTCAATCAAAAGTTATAGACTAGAAACCAATTTCGAAAGAAAATTCAAAAGGCTGTAACTTTTGAACTAGTAGCCCAATCTTGGAACTGTTTGAAATTATGGATTCTACAGGCCACATTCTATAAGAAAAATTTTTTCCGGGTCGATCTGAGACAATTTTTTTTCCGTGGCTCAAAAAAAGGCAGTGTTTTCCTCTTTTACCAAAAATCAGGATACACACATATTGGTTTCGAATATATAAAATTATAAGTTCAAAAATCATGATATATTTGCAACAATAAGGTATAATAATCAATATAATACAGTTTTGTTGTACTTATACTGCCATATTGTATTGGCCCAACCCTCAAAATCTCTGGAACATCACTCATGATTATAAGTGGTATAGAATTCATCTATAAACTTCACCAAAATTGCGACCCACATACACATACGCACTGAACTGACTGTCGAGTGTCGACTGAACAAAAACCGCATACAATATACAATACAGAGCTTTTTAATAATTTAATGCAACCTTTGCAACGATTGTTCTCAAAATAAGCTTATGCTTATCTTGCAGATTCAGCATCATTACAATTTAAAAATTAATATATGGGTTGTTAAACCAACAATCTTTCAACCGCAAGGTTTACATTTAAGAATGCGTTATACTAAACTGTATTATACACAATAGTATATTGAAAGACAAGTGTTACAATGCGACCTATTGTAATACGACTATCTTGTGGCACGAGTGGCGACGCGAAGCGTAGCCACGAGTGTCCGCAAGATAGGAGTATTACAATAAAGCATTGTAACACGCGTTTTTCATACTATTTTTTCTATTTCGGTGCTTTAATTTAATTAAAAAAATCATTATCAGAAACTATAGGGAACATTAGAACTAACATGTTTTATGTTGGGAACACTTTTTATGCCGTTAAGTTTTAGGTTGGCAGCGTAGTAAGACTGACATTTTGAAGTTCAAACATGGAAGTACCCAACGAAGTACCTACTTGTACTAACTAGTAACTGCCAACTTAAGAGATGAGTTACCAAAAAAAAAACGACTATAATCACTGTCTTTGTACAACTGTTGTACAAAATCATCATTGTGACACCGAAATAGAAAAATAATAAACCCATTTCGTTAATAAACTATATTTTAATGTTTATTATCTATTTGCTCTTGGATATATTTAAATATCTAAGATCATATTTAATACAATATCATTATTATAGTGAGAATAATTTTGATTAGACATATTCATATTGTACAGCGTGTGTCAAGGTTTGTTTGATTTAATAATAGCTTCTCGTACTGTTTACAATATAATTTTTAATATATGATTTTAACAATCCATTTTTCTCCGTGTGTGCAAGATTTTCTTTCGTAATAATTCGTATTTCAGGAGATAATAATTGGACACTTCTTAAAGCTTCTTCGTCGACATTAGACGTAAAATGTCATGTACATTTTTAAGGATTAATTTCAAGTCCTATTCCTAGATTAATTGATTATGTCGACGAAGTGGGAAAGAATTGATGCTGAATTTCGGGCTAAAGTCCCATCATCGAGATACCACAAGCGCTAAGTTCCGAAATTGCAATGCAATGGTCTGCCCTTATGATGAAATGAACAATTTCATTTACCTACAACTTCGATACTGTGTTAAGAAAGTCCTAGGGCACGTCGTTTCACGCGTTTTTTTTTAATTGAAAAAGTTTACGAAAGTATTTTTAAACCGCATTTTAACGGAAATATCGTAATAAAATATTTAAAGCGTATATTTTTTTTGTCATTGTATAGAAAGGCAAAAAAACCTTCCGCAATTTTTAAAGTAAGGGGGTGAAATGGCGCAGCCGCCGAATTGGAACCTTTGCCCTCGTGTTGAGTCAAATGATGCTAAACATTTGACGAAAATGAGAAATTTTTATCTTTGTAGCAACAGTAATTATTGTTGCAGGGTTTCCGCCCCTCACGTCGTTGCTGCAAGGGCGTACAGGATATCCCAGCACGAGCGGCTTTTAAATCAAGGCAGCAAACAGCAGGCGCTTGTCGGCGATACGAACGTTCCAAGACGTCTTAGTTGGGAAAGGTAAACTTCCATTCATCATAGCAATTTCGTTACGCTTCATTTCTGTTTTTCCTTTTACGTGATATTTTTGTTGGAAAGTTAATTATCGAATTACAAGGGAAAACTTTGCCCATAATTCGACGAAATTATTGTAGGGCGTGCTTAAAAATTCATTGCCAGTTGCCATCACAAGGAAAACAAATAGAAAGTGGCATATTTACGTGAGCGAGCATTTTCCTTTTGTTGCATTATTTGATCAGCATGAATTTTTTTACCCCGAAAGCGTTGTGGTCAAAAGAACAAAATGTTTCTTTGCGTTTATACTTAATTTATAGATGGAAAGAATTCCAAAGAAACTTAAACAATCATTCGGTGTAAGGACGAACGAAAGAATCCAAAGAGCTTCATCTCGCTTGGAGATTTACCGGTTGCGCTATGTGTTATATGTTGAGTAAGCAAATATCTAGACGGGGTGATACTAATATCAATGGATGACATCTTCTTGAGCACATTCCTCACGTTTTTAACAAAAAAAATTGACCCTAAATGACACATCTGGGCCATCTCAGTGACCTATTCCAAAAAGTGAAATTCAACCGTATAAAATTTGGCGTCTATACAAGCTGAAGATTAAGATTTCAAGCAAGATTTGACTCAAACTTATAGGGCAAATGGTAACGAAATTTTTATGAGTTTTGACCAAAATTGCTCCGCATAATTAACGGTATTCAATTCATTTTATTTAAATTAATACCCACCTGTAACGTCAACGACACGTAGAGTATCGGTAACGGCCTCCATAACCTCCTCCGGTATGTGCATTATTTTATTGTTCTGAAGGTTTAACGTTTCCAGCGAATTTAAATTTTCAAAACCTAAAGCTGGTAGCATCTTGATGCTGAAAGTGTAGGTAGTGAAATACGGGGCGTTTGCAGGGGGATACTTACTCATTTTTCTGTAAATTAAGAAAAGTAATTGAATCCCCGTAGCCCGTAAACGCATCCTCAGCAATGTAGCTGATGTTGTTCGCCCGAAGATCGAGATGACGTAGACGGTGTAGTCCGCGCAGTGCCGGCGTTGGTATTGTATGGATGTTGTTGTCGCCGAGTCGAAGGTATTGCAAATTTTCTGCAATTAGAAGTAAATTATAAATTAGCAGAGAAAAAATTGAACCCATGAGGACCCCCAAACGAAGCATTTTGAATCCCAAGTATACTTCAAGAAATTATGTTTTGTATGCAACCCTTACTCATTGCGTCCCGGTTTTTATTGCATTTTCTATTCTTTACACTAAGGTAATAATTTATTCCATTCTTTGGGTTGTCCAACCCGTTATTTAACTGACGCTACACCTTTCATAAAGCCCACTACTCATCTTGCTATTACTTGTAAATATGTTGGTGGAAGAAGGTGAAACGAAATAAAATGTATGGTAAGGAATTAGAGTCTGATGTAAATGTCAGATCGTCTTGCAAACACATATTGGGCCGTATGAATAAAAGTAAGCAAATGCTTATACTTGCAAAATTCAAAGTAAATACTCGTAACTGCCCCTTCATACTGGTCTGTTTAGCATGGTTTAGGCTGCACTGCGTCCTGTCCTTCTGCTTAGAAGCGCTGCTACGCCCAGTGCGAAGGAGCACTTACGAGTATTTACTTTGAATTTTGCAAGTATAAGCATTTGCTTACTTTTATTCATACGGCCCAATGTCTGTGTTGACTTTTTTCAGGCAGGTAGCGACCTACTCGGTTAGTAGAAAAAGGGTTTCCTATTCGTCTTTCAATGAACCATTCGCCGTTTGCCACTGACACTACAGGGCAAGAGGTTTTTTTTCCAATTTACAGTTCTGTTTTATATTCGGCCTTAAATTTATTCAGAAATATAATAGAATTCTGTATCTGAATCACATCTGTTAGATCCTTAGATCTAAAGAATAAAACCGATTGGATAATCTCAACGTTTTTGCAATCCCATTCCCTGAACTTGTTTGGAAAGTGTTCCAGAAACGTTAGATGATCGTTTCTTTAGGTCAGTATTAACTGAATGTGAAAGTCAAGCTTTATTTTTGTAAATGCAAATTTCGTAAGCTCGGCATCCACCATTGTACTTTGCGTCTCCATCGTACCGCGGATATAATTTAATCTCCGAAGCATTAATTACGCTGGAAAATAAATAAATAATTCATGAAAACATTTAAAACAATTTTTTCTACAACTTAATTCATCCCAATGTACGCCTCGTACACCCCCTTTTGATAAAAGCAAATACATCAAAAGCTTCAATTAAATTTATATAATAAAATTCATCACGCACTGTTTCCGTTCTTAATTTGAAACACGACATGAAAATTTAATAACAAAACCAAATAAATAAAGTACACCAAATTAATTGCTATATACCTTCCAGACCGGCGAACGCAGACGGGTCAACCAGCACAATGTTATTTCCATCCAATTCTAACGAGTTTAACTGAGAAAGATGAGAGAACGCCCTCGCCGGTACCTCCCTCAATTTATTATGAGCTAGCCCAAGGGAGTCCAAATTTTTCATTCCTATAAATTGCAATTTTACTTATACGTGTAACTGGCTACGAAAAATCCGCTCGGAAATACCTTCGAAATCGCCCTCCTGTATTCTCGATATTTGGTTCTCTTGCATTTCCAATTTTTTCAGCGTGTCTAAAATCGAGAGCGACTTTTGCGGTACCGATGTTAGCTCGTTTCCACCCAGATTTAATCTTTTCAGCCTCCTGCAAATGAAATAGGCGTCATTAGAATAAACATTTACATTTACCTTGTGAGTAAATATTAGAATGCTTCAACTTTTTTGGGACAAAAGGGCGCAGCGTATTGTAGTATGAAAGAAAAGAGCGCACTAATTAGTATATTTTCGATAACGATGTTGTTTACATTCTCTTTGTCTCATTCCGACTCAAAGTTTATCGTTCAAATAATAATGTGGAAAAACTTTCACTTTTTGTGATGTTGAATATACTTTTAATGACTTTAATAACTTGTCTAAAAAGTTAGCTTATAAATTAATAATCTAAAATGTAATTTTATTTCCAACAATCAATCAATTTGAATGAAGTTAAAAAAATATTAATACTATCGTACGGCTTTTAGAACAATTTTATGCAGATATATTACACATTACCATTCCATTGTTTCGGAGTTTATTAGTTATCTAACGTAAATTTCATTAATTAGTTTTATTTATTTACAATTAACTAACAATAAACTTATAACAGTCTTAAAATGGATTAATTTATAATAGTAATTATTATTTATCACTTACACCTTATAACATAACACAAGCTCGTCGAAGTTGGAACTGAACTCATACGCGCTTTAATTTGCTTATATATTAAATGAAACGTTTCTAGAAAATTACGGAACGTCCACATCACATTTCACAGAACGAATGAGGAACTTTCTAGAAACTTCAAGATTATTTGTTAAAGTGTGTGCGGGAAAGCCGAAACATTTTTCAAATCTGACGGCAACTCGCCCTTTTATTCAAATTTTCCATATATACACTTTTTGCCACCCTTTATAAAATAGCTCATTTTGTTTTTTTGAAAAATGGGCCAAAATACTCTATATCCGGCCGTACGTCTGATACTCAGATCTTTGTTTAACAGATATCCACGAACTTTCTACATTTCATTCACGAGTGGCCTTACTAATAAATAACTGAAAGGTGCACAAAAAACGTCGGGGACGAGTAAGTGGTGGTGATGGCCCTTTGGAATTGTTTGGTAAATTTTTTAGTATTTGCATCTTAATGCATACAGATAGGGTAGAAAAACCTTCTGGTTGGGAAAGGCTCTTTGAAAAGACTATTTTGCGACAATACAAATATGCAAAACTTGAGAAGTGAGAAGATAAAAACAATTAAAGAATTAAATTTATAAGAAATATGGAAATAGAATGGATATTTGAGCCGCTGGGTATGTTATAAGTTATAAGATAAACAAAGTACGTACCGAATAGTAAACTTCTGTGTCTCAGAAAGTAATAAAGAGCTTTGGGGTAAAAAATTGTTTATGTAAATGTGTCGAAGAAAAAATGCTGGGAATTATTTTTACTTTCCAGAAACCACAGCTCTGTGGTTAAATGGGGATCGTATTTTTTGATTTTACGAACTATTTTTTTAGGCTTTAATATTTGGCCTAGAACAAAACCCAACTATTTATGTTCTTTAAGGTGGGGGAATTTCTTAATTAAGCCCGAAAAAAGGTTAAATTTCAATTAAACTATAAAGTGTTGAATTCAGAATTCAGGCTTTAAGAATATGATATTGGAATATCAGAGTTGTATTTAAAAAAGTAAAGTTGATCATAGCAAAGAGCCTGGGTACTCTTTGATGGTAGTTCCCCAAATACGAAGCGTTGGATTAAAAAATTAACAACTCCACCTTAAAGAAAGTTCCTGTGGTGTCAGTGGTCAAATATTAACGCCAGAAAAAAATTTGCTGTGGCGAGCACTGATACCACCCGCACGATGCAATAGTTTAACGACAATTAAGAAAAACGTCAACAATTGACAGTTTTTTGTTACTTTGGCACACTTGCGCTTGCGCGATCTTGCTGAAATGAGAGTACAGACAGACGGACATACCGACATCCTCGAGATTTTGTTTGATTTGGATTCCTGGTGCTTCAGAGCGTATTTTTCCACCAAAAAAGTGGGGGAGGGGTCATTTATTACCGCAATGCAATACCTCTCTTACTAATATGTGTGGGTGGTAATAGTTCGTAAAATCGAAAAATCCGATTTTTTCAAAATATTTCAAAAAACAAAAAATACCATGGATTTCTAAACGGTTCATTTGATTGCGCAACTTTTCTACCATTTAACCAAATTTGTATCTCTTACCGTTTCTAGAATACTCGTAGTGGCCCTCCTTATCTTGGACACGGTGTATCTAGCAAAATAATAGATGGGAAGGTTAAATGGGGGTTTTCATGAACCCAACGTTATTTAGAAGTAAATACATTGCGTATTTGAAATAAGCATTCCTATTTCATGAGAAGTGTTTTAACCCTTTTTCCTCTCTGAACTAAAAAGCATATTTTTCGTTAGGCAAAATCAGGGGCAAAATTGTTGCAAGAAATAAGAATAAAAAAACTTGACTCATTGAAGACTCTTCTCTTTTTTTCAGTTCCCCGCAAAATTGTATTTTCAAAATTGTTTGCTATGGGTTCGTTTGAAAAATTCAAACACCAACATTTCCACAACGTTTTGAATGGATTAATGAAAATTCAACTAGTGCAAGAATTATAATTAACATCACTCTTTATTAGTTATTTCCTATGTAAGATTAAGTTTTAAATTTACGAAAATGAATGTGGCCTTTCTGAATTAATTGGCACTGAATATTAAATCTAAATACGAAATACGATACATTTTTATATACACAAATTTCTCAAAATTATTAAAATGATGTAACCCTTTGAATCGAAAATTGTCTTTACTTAATTATAAACAAAAATTAACTTTTACTTATATAAAATTCAATTTTTTTAACAACTCATCACCAAGCTATCTTTGGCATTTCCTCATCCGCCTTTATAAAATGAGTACGCGGACACTCTTTCAGAGGTAATGCATTTTCCCAAAAATTTCATATTGACCCACAATAATTAACGCAAAGGAATATCTAATTAAAAAAGTCCTGTTTGATAATTTTGATATTTTGAGCGTGTCTCGAGCCTTACAACATCTAGTGAACTGTGCCTACGATTTCCCGAAAATGTTCAATTTGCTGTTTGTAAGTACTTGGACAATGTGCTATACGTCGCTAAAAACAACAAATATATTCGAAAAGCAAAATTAGATTGCCGAAAAAAAATTTGAGGGCTCTAACAATGCCATTTTCAGAAAAACTAAGTTATAGAAAATTCATGTTGTGTTTACGTTTATAAGGTTCACATTTTTCTTACTCCCCCGATGGACACGGGCACATTGGAAAATCCGTTAGCGACATCCTTTTAAATAAATTTATATACTTATTCATTTTTTATTTTTTTGTATCTGTAACATGACAAAAAAAATAAAAACGAAGTTGGCAAATTTCGTTTTTTTCTGGAAAATCTTTGGAAGTAATCGGAATTTTCTGGTTTTCTTTAAAGCACTCTTTAATTACGCATCTTTTCTCTAATTTGACCATTCTCGTATCTTCTATGGTTTCCGAGATCACCCGTGTGGTTATTGAAAGGAAAATTAAAAGAAAAGCGCTAATTAACTTCGGAACTTTTGTAGAAATCTTTGGGGTTGCAGTTCTGAAAACCGCCAGGATCCTTATTGCTATTTCGAAAAAATTAAATCAATTTAAATAAGTAGCTACGTCTAAAAGCTAGTGCCATTCTAAATCTTGGATAAGACCTCATAAGTCACAAAAACTTAATTGTGGGACTTGAAAGTGTGCCTCTTCTCCCTTCCGATGTTCCTGGCGTTTCAGTTTTTTCTTCAGCATTCGATCACTTCCATCTTCCAATACCAACCGTCGAAATTTATTGCACTTGAGACTACGTACCTAATCATTTTCCTAGCATTTCCATTTAAAAAGGCCAATCACTTTATATTAAATGTCGAGCAAGGTTCTTTGTACAAAATCTTGCTTACAAAAGATAAAATATGTTCTCTCTTTTGTCCAAAAGACCTTTGTAGGTACGTCAAGGAAAATTAAACTGAGATAGCAAATTATAAAATTTGAAATCGACGGAATGCTATTAAATGATACCTATAAATGGAAAAACCAAATTTAATTGGAGGTAACTGATAACGCCAAATGTTGAATTCGACCTGTTTATAGTACGGCAGTTAGTTAGCGGTATTGTTTGTGTGCGTGTCGTTTGTCACTTAAACTTTGAATTTTTTGTGAGGGTGCATTATAGTGGCGGATGGAGGATGCTGCCGTTCAGAGAAAGGTAGGATTTAGCGGGTAGTTTTCAATAAATAAATTCCCATTCACATTGTACATTTTTCTGAAACTGCAAAGCCTTTGAAATATTGAACGTCGGCATTTTTTTTAATCATAGACCTTTTTGAACATGTTTTTAAAAGTAAATTTTGGGTAGTTTCCTCATCAGATTGTGCAGCATAACTTTGAAATGTGTGTGTATACCCCATTTAATAGGTGTAGGTACAGTTTAGGACGCAATATAAAAATCTTTGCATCTGTTCAATGATGAATCACTATCAAGAACGCGTTTGGTTTATCATGGTTATGGCTTTTGTGTATCCATCAATTCCAAGATTGTATGCACTGCTCTAACGTAAAATGCCTTAACGTCATGTTAAAGTTTTTTTATTCGACAAATTGTCGGAGTAATATTTTACCACTTCATCGATTTCTATTATGTACTTATAATGACTATACAGTGTGGCAAGTTGACGACGGGACATAGCATGGGAAAATACATTTTCGGCAATTCCTGCTCCCCATTTTAACCTAAAGAAAAAATAAAAACACCCTCGGATAGAAAATTAAAATCGACATTAGATGTCACCAAAAAAGCGTGCACAAGCCCTTTTTTAAAAGTATAAAAGTTAAATAAATAAATCCAAAAAGGTAGTAAAAAATTGGTTGACCATGATTTACCTACCGCATTTGTCACCTAATTCTTTGATTTAACTGTCTCCTCTAATAAACACGCTAACATGAATAATAATTACACTACAGAAGAAAAGGTCTTTATTGTAAAATCGTTGTATACTGGGAATATACACGGCGAAGTTGGTG